CGGATAGGGGATGCGCTGGTTAGTATTAATCGCCATCCCTGAAGGACGGAGAGACTTTTTTTTACTATCTTATTACTGGACTCACCCACCAACCAGGGACAAACAGGCGAGCCTAAGCAGCTATGACACTGGCAAAGTTTTCGGTTCTTTTCTTCCAGCGCCCCGCGATATTAAGATCGAACAGAAAGTGAAAGTCTAACGTCGTAAGAAAAGAAAATAAAACGGTAAGCGCGCAACAAAGTCGGGTCACCTCGCTGGTTCCTTTTCCTTGCCCCAGCCATTTCATACTTCCGTCCAGTAAAGAGGAACCAATAAAGCTAAGAGATCATAACACCATTCTCCCCCGAAGGGCCTGATTATTTATTAAAAATTTTCTTGCAACGGATCCTGGATTGACTGGGTATACCCCGCCTAAGGAAACTCGTTACAACTTTTATTCTTTCGTTCTACGCACGAATGTGATAAATTATCCTAAAAATAAACAAAACACGAATAAATAAAATACTTTTAATATATTTCATAAACTTTATTTAACATATAAGATTCGTTGTGGACGGCCCTCTCTTGTCCATATTATAATAATTACGTCATCCTGGTTCAAATAAAGAAGGCAAACTGCAATATCTCTTTTAAAAAAATTAATCCTCCTGACCAGTAACGCTGTCCTTCAATTTCTGCTTCAAATCCATTTGACTTATAAGAGTGTACACGGAAAAAGCAAATTTCACTACCTAGAAATCAATTAAAATCAAACAAGTAAGAAAATTAACTTCGGTCGGGACGGAAAATTAGTTCTATAATTAGTTCTATATGTAAAAATTCGTTCGGATTTTCATACTTACATTAATATTTGAGTTCATTGTTATCGGGAATATTTTCATTGCCGTTAACACAAGTGTTTTTTGAGTATGTTGTAAAAAGAACACGACAACTTGTTTATAACGCGGCTCTTCATTAGGCCAGCCGGAATGGAAGATGGCTAACGACAGCTCATCACTATCGTCCATTAAACTGTTTGCCAAATAACTGCAAGGAAATGTTTCAGCTAAAATGGAAGCCACATAAAACAAGGATGCTACAATCGCAAAAAAATTTGCGAACAAAACTATGTGGATTGTTGTAACACCCAAAATAATACCGATGATCAAAAACTGCACAAACATGGTGCCAGAGATAACTGGGCTAAATAGATTATAAAGACTAAAAGAATTTGCGAAACGATGAAATCGTTTGTTACAAAGCAACCTTGACGGATAAATTGACTTACTGCATAATATTTTTGTGGTCCAAAACGCATTGAACAAGTGCTTCATAACGTTGGTTTTTTTTAAGCTTTTCATCCTTTCCCAGTTTCGAAATACGACGTGACAAAATATGCAAATGTGCGCGAATTATCATTATGTAAATTACCGGATACGCATCAAGAAGTGCCTGTTGATAGCAGTGAAAATCGATCATTACATATTCGATAGCTGACTGTATAATGAAGTTTCGTGTACTGTTCCGCCATTCAATAAATGGGTTATATATCTGATATGGCGGCCTTCCGTTAATTACAGACGATAAAAATGTGCTGCTAGAATACGATAAATATAACAAAGTAAATAATAAAGAGGAGCAGTTGCTATAAGCGACGGCCTGACGAAGCATGAACTCTCCCTGCTTGTCAATGGGGCGTTGATCAAGTCTATCCATGTACTTCGTAGCCTTGATAAGGCGTTTATACATTAGACTAAATACAAATAATTTAAGTGAAGCGCCAACGCAATTTATAGATATTTGCAAAGATGTGAAAAATTCACTCGGACTGAAAGAATGCAGACGCATGATGAAACTTAGCAGAAAGCCGACCGGCATATACAAGGTTACTAGAGAATTTAGGAAAAGAGACCAAACATAAAAACATTTCTTGTTATAATCTGGAGTCAATAGTCCGATAATGGTGATGCCACGGAATAAATACAAAACTGCATCTCGAGTTTTTGGTGGTGGACCATCTTCTCTGAAGTAGGCCATTTTGAAGAACTTTCTAAAAGTAAGCATTTCTTATTAGCAATACAAAATCGAAATTTTTCTGAATGCAGCGTGTTACGCACGTTTCCGTTCTTTCTTTCAACCAATGTTTACACGTTCTTAACAGGTGCATTATTCCAACTTAACAGATAGCCAAACGTAGTTCAAATAAACTGAATGAGGGATGTAAGCTTAAATGAACAAATATTGATCAGTATATACGAAACTAACCATTAAAGAACCCTAAAAAAAGAATTTTTTAATTTATTCAAGTTTTTTAAATTTGTGATTAAGTAGTTTGTTCTTGTTCTCATTCGTCTTTGATTCGTTAGCCTCCCACCAACTCAATAGCAGATTTAAAGTAGGGAAAAGTAGGCAAAAAGAAAGAATAATTAAAATCAAAAGCAGAGAAAGTTAACTGCGCTTTTACTAGATTATGCTTTTTCTATCGGCATTAGTCCTGTTTTTGTAATTGGTTTTTCATTTTCTTCAAATTGGTAACTATACATTACATACGACTCTAACTGAAGTGTGATTGTAAATGGTTAGTTTCAAATAGTTGACATTCGTATTTAGGCTTCTACAGCATGAGCTTCTGCCCCATAGTTATAGCAAATTCTCCATTCTTATACTTCTTAACATCTTGCAACTGCGTTCACCATTGAAAAGCCTTCCTGAAGTTTCTTATACGCGTCGAGGCTACCATTCATGTCTTTTTATTTCAATGTTTGTGCATTGCGGCGTTTACTTTTTTTTGCAAATGTATTTACGTTTACAGGGTAAAAAGAAATTTTCCGTTTAAAAATGACCGAGTCAAAAATCGCTTCGTTAACTTCTCTCTTCTATATGCTATGGCTTACGATCACTAAATTAGTTTTATTCACTTTCCTCGTATTAAGCAGGTCGCGTATTCTTTATATATATATACATTGTTGGGACATTCCTATAGAAACAAGTTCCTACACTATAATTAAAATATTTCGAGAGTATTCTTTCTGTATTTCTCGCCATAGTGAATTATCTCTAGGCTGCTGCTGAACCAGTTGAATCCACAATTTATTATGTGAGAACTCAAAATCGTCTTTCATTTGGAGCTCACATTCTCTCCGTTTGGGTAGGGAATGGTAATACCAAGTTAGATTCAAGTCATAACAATTATCGGTAGGTAGCATTAAGTTAGCGTTAAATATACAAAAACACGATGGGTTAGGAATATACACCTGTGACACCTGCTCCGAAGGTATTCGAAACGTTAAACTTTTCTAAAAAGAAAGGGCTGCTTCTGTTTCTTTTATCATTTCATCTTGTTTTTTCTTCTTCTGGGGTAGACATCAGAAGAAAGCACACGTGCCGCGGAAATTTTTTCTGTTATTTCTTTCTATGTCGACGAACCCTTAAAAACTTTGGAAATCTTCAAAATTAAGTATTCAGCCATGATGTCATTAGTTCTCTGGAGCCGATGAAATCCTTTGGTTCGTTATATAATATTAATCATATAATTCCTGAATATTCATGATTGTGTTTGTTAATAATGCTAATATTACAATCTATGCCTCGAATTAACAATCTGCGGAGTAGTGAAACAATCTTACACTTGCATGCACATTATATGAATTTATATAACCTGTGGCCACGCTTATTAAAAATATATTCGAAACAGATTCTAAGACTAAAGCCTTACAACATTAGCTCTACCCAAGACTATCAGTTTTATTGAAAATCCTATCATACTTGAGATTTGCACCCACGACTTGTTGTATTTAAAATACAAATAGAAGGGGTAACTTTTATTTCATTAAGAATTGTTCATTTTCAATTACAATCTTTGTTACGCTTATCAGAATTTATTTGATTGTTCCTCGGGGGTAAAGATGTAAGGAGACGACAATGCGGTTGGCGACAGTCATCAATAAAATCTAAACATATAAGCAACTTTGCTGGTAATTGGCCACAGGAGAAATTCAGTATTGAGTAAACCAAGAAAAGTTACCACAAAACGCTTTTTTATACCCACAACCGAAGAAGGAGGGGTATATTCATTTTGTTAAAACGTTTGCAGCGCCCAGAACGAAGCATCAGACACTCCACAAAGTATATAAATTCTTGATCAGTATGAAACTCTAAATCCATTTAAGCATGTCCATCTGTGTAAAGTCTGTTGTATATATTCTTCTGGCCGCAAAAATGAAGCTATCGACTGCAAACGTGGCAGAAATAGTGCAAGTTCTTGCATGCAGCTAGGCAGGTTGGCCTGCGACACCACCTAAGCTGAGAGCCCCTCTGTTTTTCAAAGGGAATGAAAAATTGAGTTTTTTGCTCACTACTTATAACCTATAGAAAATAAATGTGCAAAAATTTTAACTCATATTCTATGGGCGTTGCTGTAGCATTCGTCCGCAAAAAAAGAAGAAATTGAGCAGGCATATCCAGCATTATAGTGTATCAAAATTCAATAATTTTTTCAATGCATTTATAACATGTAAAAACAACCTTCAAAATGCCCCGTAAAGTATACAAATTCCAGCTACAATACTTGAATGTATCTAAACATGTCCGCCTATTTGTCTGTCAATCTGTTTGCGTAACTTTGTTGTATTTGTGGTAAACATTCTCTTGTTAGCGAAAATGAAGATATCGTCTAAACATTTGCAAAAGAATTTGGAATTAACCTAAACTTTTCAAAGGACGAGCGTAAAACGCCCACTTGCCTCTACGGCAAAAACTTTTATGTTGAAAATAGAAGAATTCAACTGCGCCCCCTTCATATTATAGAGCATGAGAATTTTGTTCTTTTACTTCTTATGTATTTTTTCGGGGTAAATGGTGATGGTTATAAAAGATTTCGTCCCGACAGAATTTAATTTAATGTATATCCGAATTCCGTGAGCATTTGTTCTTTTCTATAATTCTCCCCACTTGTTAATTAAAGTTAAAGAGAGTAATTGTAAAAAAAGGAGAAGTCCGTCTATAGTTTTTTTAAGCTTTTGCTTATACTCCGTTACACATACTAACTAAGAAATCTACAAACATAAAGCATTCAAAGCCAAACCAAGCCAAAATTACAGATGGAGAAAGAAATTTTCAGTCATTTTAAATCAAGTAAGAACATGGCGTCAAGCACTCAACAAGAGAGAAAGAAATTAGATATGCAAAGGGTTAAGAGTTCTTTTTTTGATTATCTTCGCCGTCAACTAATTCTGGTATTGAGTTGTTTGTCAGCAGTAGTGAAATATAAAGAGAGAAAGCATGCCACTTGAATTTGTATGAAAAAGACTAGTAAAATATAAAGAGAGAAAGCATGCCAGTGGAACTTGTATGAAAAACACTAGTAAAATATAAAGACAGAAAGCATGCCAGTTGAATTTGTACGAAAAAGCGTCACTTTTAAAGAGTTGCTTTCAACAATCCATCAATATGCATTTATTAATGTAGTCTTGTGCGATATGTTCATGAAGTTGTAGTTGCACAGTCATGCTTCCATGTTGTGTGTTTCTGTATAACTGACCGCGGTCAACAGTACCGTTGATTGTATAATCCACACCTTTAAATGTTTCGTCGTTATTTATATTAAATTGCTTATGTCGCATTTTGTGACACACTTCAAGCTGTTCATATTTCCGGAGTAAACAAACACGAAAATGCAAATCTATCGTTTTATAATATTTGTTTATTGTAGTACGTAGTAAAATAATTCTACATTGGTTTATGATAGTTATAATTTATAATCTACCTTTTACCAATAAACTTCTCATTGTTCAGCATTGATCGAGGTTTTCTTATCTTTACTGTTTCTCCCAGTTCAAGTGCTAGAAGAAAGTTCTAAATAACGCTATCTCGTGTTCGTTTATTTATTTATTTATTTGTTTATTTATTTTAATTCTACCTATAGTAGAAACTCAACTAAACAAATAACAGTCGAGTTCAATTGGCTTATAATGCAAAACTTATATTAATTAATGATAAAATTTAGTATAAGTATAATAAAACAAATAAGAAAAAAAAAAAGAAAAAGAAAAAAAAGCATGTACACTATCAGCATACTTACAACCGGTACAGGACCATACTGCAAATGAACGCCTAAGCCATCGCAAACATGCATAAGCCTGACAACCGATAATACTTAACAACAATTCATTTTCGAATCGTAACGACTTTTTAAGCTTAAAAGCTAGTTTAAGTACGACATAGGTAAATCGCGCGTATTAAGCACTGTTGCTTTAATAGACTTTAAAGAGTCCGATAACGAGAATAAGTGGTAGACGCCATTTAGGTTCTTGCAAGCGACTCTGATCGGATTAGACAGCTCATAATTAAATTTACACTGACTAAGCTTAACGAAGGTAAAGTGCCTAGAAAAGCGGTTAAGGACATTAAAGCTTATTTCACCAAGTAATGAAGGCGTGTCAATAGCACCATTTATTACTTTGATTACAAAGGAAACGACAAGAACAAACCTACGTTTCTCAAGAGATGGTAAGACAGCAGAAGCAACCTATTTTCATAGGGGGGAAGAGAGTCAACCGGATCCCAACCCAAATTTCTAAGGGCATACCGCAAGAATTGCTTTTGAGCAGATTCAATTGAACCTACGTAGCACCTATATGAAGGAGACCACACAACAGAGGCATACTCAAGTATAGGTCTAACCAAACACATGTACAGCCTTTTCGTAATGTAGGGATCATCAAGCTCTTTGGACCACCTTTTTATAAAACCAAGCGCGGACCTACCTTTGCTTATCGAGAGCTCAATATGCAAGTTAAAATGTAACCTATGGTCAAATAGAACGCCTAAATCTGTGATCGAATCGACGTCCTCCAACTTATGCGAATCTATGCAATACTGAGTAATGAATGACTTTCTTCTTGAGAAAGAAAGCTTTTTACATTTACTCAGATTTAGTTTCAGAAGATTTACAGAGCACCATGCAACCAAATTATTTAAGTCACCTTGAAGCTGATGTGATTGCGATTCAACAGAGAAGGAGAAAAACAGTTTCACATCATCCGCATACAT